ACATATCCACATACTCTTTGCTGCAAATTTCAGAATAATCTTAATCATCCTCTCTTCATGACCACATACACATATACCTTTGCTTCTCTTGTTAATATTCTTTTGATTCCTACTTCTTTTTTTTTCTTCACAGAATAAAAGGCATGTTGCCTGTTCCAAACAGCTCTTTATTTAAAAGATCAGTAAATAAGATACTAAAACACAACAACTGCAGTATACAGGTTATACAACTTCCCTAAGGGTTTGGTAGCACTCAAAAATAACCAAGTTATTTAATTCATGCAAGAATAATTAAGTAAATTGTTTCTAATATCTTCTCTGTAACTGAAGTAAAATTGGATATATTTAATCTCCATTTTTTGGAGAAAGATAATTGGTTTTTAGCCATAAGGATTACTCATTTAGTTAACTAAATTATTTTTACTTTCCAATAAAAGGCTTTACAATATTATGTTCTACAACACTTGTCTTTACATTTTTAAAAACATTACTGTTTTGGAAAAAAAATAATGGAGGAACCACACCATTCAGTTCAGACAAAATGATTCCGAAGTCATATTGCTCTATGGACAGCTTCCATTAAGAAAATCATTCACAATACAGTGCTTTGTGTGTGTGTGTGTGCGCACATTTATTTAGGCCTTGAGTTAAATACTTCATGGAAATAAATAATAAATATATTACATTATAAAATATAAGATTATATTATCTGTTATGCGCTTGGATTTTTTTTTAATGATGAATCAGTAAAACCTGCAATAGTTTTGTTGTTGTTGTTATTTGTTTTTTAATCTCCAATCTATCCTCAAGATCAAATTTGCTAGCATAAACGTGACAGCAGTTTTTCATTCACATACTATTAACACTTTGCTAAGCAGCTTAGATACTACATCAGGCTGTTGCCAGGCATTCATAGAAGAAACGTGTAGACTATCCAAGGAGCACCTTACGTAGATGTAAGAGAATCATATCCTACAAAGCACTCCTACAGCTGAATTTCAAGAGTAAAACGGTTAAGAGGATTCTTATTAACTTTTATTTCTCTCAGTTGATCTTAGTGGCTTGAAAACAATGCTAGTTTAATACTGCATTGTATCTTTTGACTCAAAACAGCCTGGTATGCCTGGTATGCTATAAGGTCACAACACTGTGAATATCAGGTGAACAACTGCTATTCCTTCATAATTCAAATGCAATTATCTGTAGTCCTACCTCTTCCCTCTGTAAGATGGGATCTGAGGAGTCTCCTGAGACTCCTCAGGAGTACATGTGCACTCTCATCTACTTGGAAACAGCAAGTCTTAGTTGGGCAATTAGCAGCTTCTGAAGGCTTTATGTTTCTTAATATCTGACCTCTCTCCAAAATCTCCTGAATGCTTCCCATGCTGTTTCCCCATATTGCTACTTCAAAGGAGTCATTAATTTTAGCCAGCTGGAGGTTGCCTGCCAATGAGGTACTTAAAAGTGTCTTAAGGTGCCACCTGCTAGATTCAAGAGATTGGATGAAAAAAATCAAATTTCAGTAGCAATGAGAAAAGGCAATCAAATATGTTTTAGCTCTTATTGTTCTCAAAGCTTAAACACACGATTCAGATGCAACCTGGTAGTGCAGTAAAGGGAGGGCAATAAAAATATTTGGAAATCTATTATTACTTTATTTATATGTTGGGATCCTTTATTCAACTTTGCAGATTTTGCAGCCTCATTCATGGCTTTTTATTTTATTTATTGATTTGTTCAGATTTGCAGTTATTAAAATCTTATTTCCCAGGTTCTTACTGGACATCAATGTCTCCCTCCACTTCCTTTGCTATTTGGATAGCAAGGTACGAGTTCTGCAGGTTTTCTGCAACTGTTGTTTTATGACTGCCTATAGTCAGCCTAATATTTGGGATGTGGAGAACATCAATGATTGGTCTGGAACCCTGGAGAATTTCAGGAGAACCTGCTCCTGGTTGTGCATTTCTACTTTCAAGTACAGTAGTAGTTTGCATCTTCAGTTTGATACTGTACAGTACAAACTGATAACTAATCTTGGGGAAAAGACTAAAGAACAAGACCAAATTATCATGACTGTGATGTTTGTTACTTAAGAGTAGAGTATGATACACAGCTACAATCACACATCATAAAATTAAATCAATTGTCTATTTTCATAAGGAAACTCCAAATTTCATTCACTCTGTTTACAACACAGCCATTGAACTTTTACCTGAAACCTAAAACTAAGCTTAGACTCATGACAGACAGAAAACAACAGATTTTATAATATACCACAAATATGACTCAGGAAAGCTATTTTATCACCACAAATTTAACCTTGAGAAGAGTAACAATTACTTTTAAATGTTGTTTCTTCTAAAGAAGAGCTAAGAAATATATGATTTAGAGATGATAAATTATGTGCTTCTCTATGCTTAACTTTTCTTATTTAGGACATTTTTGAGACTACAGATTATAGCTATTCGAACGTATGTCATATCAAGTTAAATTTTAGTTAATTTAAATGCTACATTAGAAACAGCTAAGAGGTTTATGCAGTTGGTACACATGACAATATCCAATATCTGAGGAATACAAGAAATAATAAAATTTCTAAATAACTGGTGTAATTATTCATCTATAAACTTCATATAAACATGATTGATGGACTATGTAGGAAAAAATGTTCTCTGTGGAGACAGAGAGCACATATCTCTGTAAAACACACCTGTCCACATCAAGAGGAATTTATTTAAGCCAAGGAGACAATCTGAGTTAATGTCTTCACACCAACATTTTTAAACTTAAATCAATTTTGAGGTATAGTGGGAAAAAAGCTGTCTGAATTTACAAATCTTTGCATATTGTGAGGGTCTCTACTGCCTTGAAGTTCTTTCAGTGCTCATTGTTGCTGCAAATACAGCATGTTCTTCACAGGCAGTGCACAACTAGGGCCAAGGATCCCACTTAAAGAATGGGCTAAATAGAGACAAATGTGCCTGCCTAGTTATTATTATTATTATATTTTTAATGCATGAATCATCTGAAAAGGAGGGTTAAAGGAAGACTGAAATTCCATAGGAGTTAGATTAGCAGGAAACAAGAACAGTTAGAAGTCAAATGAGATTTCAAGAAAATAAGGGGCCCCCAGACATTAAAACATCCTTTTACAGCTCTGTTTATCTGGCTTAATAATGTGTTTTCAGTGTGTTTTCTAACATTTTAATGCTGTTATATTTGCTTTTCACCAGTGAACAACAACCTGAAATACCAGCATTGACTTTACTGACCAGTTATGAATATTGTTTCCTCATTTAGTTAGGACTTCCTTTCACTCTGGATGACATTACTCTGACAGATCCCTGAACACCTCCATCAAATGCTAGGGAACATTTTAACGAGCTACCTCCTGTCACACTATAAGATCTACCTCCTCCAGTGACACACAATAGCTGACCATGTGTGGATTCACACTGTGCTGAAAGTAAATGGGTTATTTTAAGCCATTTTCTGACAGTCAATCTAGATAATCTGTGCCTTGCAAAGAGCGAGCACAGAGTCAGAGTGTAATTTCCACTTGAAGGTAGGGTACTAGTTAAGGGTGGAATCCTTTAACGAACATTGAGATCCTCAAATGAAACACAGGTGTGTGCTTTTTTTCTCTCAGATGACAACCACATAATTATATATTTTTTAAACTCTTACACTCTTAAAATGAATACACAGAGAAAAGTACCATGGCAAGATTTCCTTCCCTTCCCTTCCCTTCCCTTCCCTTCCCTTCCCTTCCCTTCCCTTCCCTTCCCTTCCCTTCCCTTCCCTTCCCTTCCCTTCCCTTCCCTTCCCTTCCCTTCCCTTCCCTTTCCCCCCATATATTACTTGCAGTGAATTTTTGAACAAACTCCATCAAACTCCATTCTGCTCTGTTACTTCAGATCAACAGCTAATTTAGAATGTAAGTTATCTATAATAGAACAGAGCCTGTAGGTTTTTGGAAAGAGCAGTGTTTCTCACTTAAGAGCACACTGTGTCTCCAGTTGAATTCTACAATTGTTTCACAAAAACAAACAAACAAATAAAAAGAAATTAATCTACTAGAACCGTATTTAAGTGAAGCTCTTAAACACATTAAGCATTTAAACCATTGAGGCCAAATGTGCTTAATTACTTTGCTCTGTTCAAATTATAATGATTATAGTAATTAGTGCATGCTCAGTTGTATCTTGTGAATGCATGCATTTAATGGCTATTCTATAAACTGGTAACATTTGCAGTGGGAAAAGGAAATAGAAGTAGCTTTAGTGTAGTGAAAATACATTTTACAGTAAAAAGATTAAAAATAAATAAAATTCTTGCCCATGTAACAAAGTTGGTATAACCATTGGTAGCAGTGTATTTTTTCATGCTACTCATCCCTCTATATGTTTAATAGTAATTGTCAGAAAATATGACCTGTGACATGACTTGGTAATTCTCTGTGGGATTTTTGACATTTTTTGGAACATTTTGAAGAAATACCTCAAACAGAAAACAGGTAGGCTTCAAAAGCAATGTCTGTTCCCACTTTTTGTCTCCTGGTCCGAGCATCAAGCCTTCATAGGTCACAAACTCTTTCTCTATTTTAACTGTTGTTGTTTCCCCCAGTTCAAATGGTTTTCTTCCAGACTGGAATCCAGGAGCACTGAGATCCCACATCTGATGTAGGGATTAGACACATGGAGCTCAGTAGTGTGTGAGTTTCAGGTGGTACTTGAGAATTTACCACTTGAAAATACTTTTTTTTTTTTTTTTTTTTTTTCCATGATGGGAGCTTCCCATTGGCATTCCAAGACTATCTTCAGCTGCCCAAACTACCTGTTGTTATTGCAGATTTGTAGAGGGAGGGAGCTTTGTAGAGGGAAATAGCTTTCAATAGTAAATGTAAGAAGTTCTAATTTTAATTCCTCTTTTAAATATTTTTTCCCAAATTTCTCATATAACTGGATTAGTATAGTGAATTTTCCAGCAATACCACAGGAGCATGAATCATCTTTTATTTTTTTGTTTTTATTTTTTTCCTAAGCACTCATAAATTAGGTAAACACCATAAATTATTTTACTGATTTAATAAACTTTTTTCCTTATTTAATCAACATTACATGAGATTCTGAAGCATACCTGGCTTTGTTCTCATTAGCATACTTTTTTAAAGTCTCATTAATGCATTTTCTTAAATTATGGCAAGTCAGGAATCAAGAACTTAAATTCACTTACAAGCAGGCTGTTTTAAATATGAATTTTGAAATTGCCATTTAATATTTGACCATATTTGACCATATTTCCTTACTTAGACCTAATCTCTAATAATTTAAATTGGCCAATCTGTAAAATATTGCAGCAGTTCTGAATATTGTATTATATAAAAACTTGAAAGCATATATATGTTTGAGGTGTTCCAAGAACAAGTTTCCATAACACAAAATTGTTGAGATTCTCAGTCAGGTGTATGGACAATATCAATTTCCTTCATGTATGTCAGTGTGCAAAAATAGGAAAAACACTGTATTGTTGGAAATATGTTGAAATTTCAGTAGTGTGCAATACATCATGCTTAGAAACTAGATTTATTTGCAAATGTATTGATCCAATTAATTTCAAGTAGGAAAAAATCACAATCAAGAAATAGCCATTGGAACCAACAACAACAAAAAAAAAGACACAGTTATGTTGTCATCTTGATGATTTTTCATAGTATATTTTCACACAAGTATAATTTTAGATCTAAATAAGATAACCATAACACACAGTTACCTATAAACTAAATACACATTGTTTTCCTCTGCTGCATCAGTAATATGAACTTCTCTTGAGTATGTATGGTCTTCTAGCTTTGTTCACATGTAGTTGCCTCTTCAGAATATAGGGATTTTTTCTTTTCATTATTTCCTTTTCTTGGCTTGAGTTCTCTAGATCATAAGCATCTTGTTGAAGTAACTGTAGGATGTCAGAAAACACAGAATGGTATCAGTGGTTTTTGATAATGAAAATTATCAATTCCTTGAGAGCATTATAAGCCCCAAACTCAGATCTAACCTAGTATCAGGCTACTGATTTGGTGAATCCTATGGAAGTGATATTTAAATTCTGCTGAAACTAACAAATACCCTTTTTTAATTTCACATTAGTGATTAGGAGTTGTGCTTCCCAACCACCACAAAAAGTGATGCAATTGTTATTGCAGGAGCTGTGATTAAGTTACAGGCTATTGCATGTGGTCAATGCTATGGTAGCTCTTTTTCAGCAAACAATGGAGTCCTCAGAAAACTGGTTCTCAGAGACTGCAGACTTTTGTATTGGCCATCCCAGCTGATATGAAACATTGAGAATAAGCAAATATAGAGGTGTGATTCAGCAAGCAAAAGGGCTCAGTCACACTGCCCATGTATCTGTAACATCTGAAGAAACTTGGTTTTGCCGAAAAGTGGGTAGTGATACTACAAAAAATAACTTTTAATGCAATATGTATCAGTGTTAAGTGTTCTTCATGTGACCATTGCACTAAGGTACATATGACAGGTGGACTAAAAACAATCACTATTTAGGATTAGCAATCTTTAGGTGTGGGAGAACAGGAAAGCAGGATTCCCTTGTTTCTGGTTTCCTAGCAATGATAAGTCCAGAGTACCTGGTAAAATTACATGTATACATAGGAATGTGTCCATGTATTTTGAATCCAGTTTGTCTCAGGGCCTTGAAGGGTTTAACAGAAACTCTGCCTACATTTAGTTATGCCTGAATAACTATACAGTTATTTCATGTGTGTTAAGCAGATTTTAATTTTGTGCTCTGGTTCACTGCCACTTGTTTGGTTGGTTCCCTGGAATGGCTATGAAGACTGGAGAAATTATGTAGTTAAGAATACTTCACATATGTGCATGCATCTTTATCCAAAACAGGCATCCAGCTCTTGAAAAACTGTATTAATTCACAACCCTTTCACTAACAGGCATATTAGAGGTATTAGGTATTACAGAATATCATAAAGGTAGGGAAAGTTTAGACAATATAACAGGAGTGATTTAAGCCAAGAACACACAAGGCTTGAAATGCATAGGGTATGGATTTTAAAAGATCACTGTGAAGACAAAGGGACCACAAAAGCGTAATAGGCATTGAAACTTGCATTTGTGACATTTTACCTCCCAATGCTGAAAGGCTCTGCTGTGGCAAACTTTCTGGAGTTGATATACTGTCAGCATTGCTTCCAAGCTGAAGCCATCCAGACCAGCAGGGAACTGTCTTCCTGAAATGAGATCTTCATCTGCCTCTACTGTTTCCCCCACTTGGTTGTTCATGTTGTTGACAAGATTGCAGACATTTAACAGGGTCATTTTCCAGTAAGGAAGTTTTGCTCTGTTAATCTGAAAATACAAATACCCTCTACTTAATGTAACCAAATATACAATTTTTGGTTTGTTTTGAGTAATGTGTGACATTCAAGCATTTTGGTATGAACAAGTTTGTTTGTTTGAAGTCCTTTTCATCTGCCCAACTTTAATACAATAATTAGAGAGTGCAGAAGTTAGGACAACTCCTTTATTAAAAACACAAAGTCTGTTTCCCCACTGCCTTACCCTCAAGGTAGATATATGTGATGTTAAAGTAAACTGCTACCAAACCAGAATGGTAGCATTTCACAGTCATTATACACAGGTGCAAACAAAAACAGGAATATAAATTAATATAATATAAATTCATAGGTGTAAGTCAGGACAATGAGTCAGGACTTCTGGATAAATTCCCAGTGCCAGATTCCAAGCCGAATGCTTGTGGTTAACTAGAAACTCCTCCCCAGTTCAGAACGAATACCAGTCATTTCAAAATTCCCCAAGAAAAGGACGGAGCCCCTGCTTCAAGGCAAGCTGTCTAATGAGGCTGGATCTGATGTTATGGAATTTGTAAGCCCCAGGATTTTTGGATACTCGAGAGTTAGGATGAACATGAGAGATGTGTATAGAAGGTCTAGGAACTTTGTTAAAGGTGGAGCAAAGATGAAATAGAGTTGTGCAAACAAAGTATTCCTGATTTTGTGGCTGGACTGAAAAACTGAGACCAACTGTTTTTGGGTGGTCCGTAATGAACCATTTCAGAGTTGTTACAGAAAGACAAAAATAAACAGAAATTTCACCATGGTTTGTGACAATTTTTGCTTAATCCAATACTTTACATTATTTAGGAGCTATTTATCTTTTAAAACCTTTAAAAACATATAAAAAAAAACATTTTTACTTTCTATTAATATTTTTTTCAAACAACTGTGGTAGTAGTTTTCTTTAGCTTTGATTATCAATGGAAAAAAAAAATAGAGTGAAAAAAATAATGCCTACCTCACTCACTGCTGTTTTCTTTGCCACTTTCTTTCTCACACTATTAATTATTTCTTCCAAATTGTATTTCTCCTGTTGATGGGTATTAGTTTACTACTTACTGAGACTAGTTTCCTTCAACTGGAACTGGTGACATAGCAATCTCCAATCAAAAGCCAAAGAGTAAATTTCTGTTTATTACTGGCAAGGGTTTCCTTGCGGAGTACATTAGAATTACACTGTACTAATGAACTAAAATGTAGTTTCTTTTCCTGGATGTACCAAATTAAATATGGTTATTGCATTAATACAGGCATTGCTTTTTACTAACCAACAGCATTAACTGAGAGTGTGAATGCAGTTCTCACCTAGTTGAACATTTGGTAATCACACAACCTGTTGTTTCTTCAAATCAATTTCCTAACGAAGAGGTATTATATGTAAGATTTGTGCACATTTGCTACTATTTTTTGAGAGAAAAGAAAAATACAGAGAAGTGAACAAGAAACAAGAAAGGCTCTCATCAATAGTATCATTAGTTGAAAGAAATACCCTTTTGTCTTTAATCATTACTTCAGTATATATCTGATATACACATGCATTTCAGAATGACAGTAATTTAGTCCTTTGATACAACTGCTGTGTTCTTAGCTTCCTGACATGGCTCAGAAAACAAGCAGTATTTTGTTCTGAGGATAAGAAGAAAACAAATCCCAAATTTTATTCAGAAGGTTCTGCATTGTTTCAGCTCATCTGCTGTCCCATTCAGGTGCTCCATTCCAGAAATTTGTCTGTTTAATTATTTGAAAAGATGTGGCAGGTTCAAAACAAACTTAACCTCTTTACAGAATGCCTAATTTAATTAACAATAGTTAAATTAGCAAAAAGAGCAAGTGTGCACTGCAATTTCAAAATCTTTGGTCTGTTTTAAAATATTTGTGAAATGCAAAACCATGGAGCTTTTCATACTAAACGAGGTGACTTTTCCAATACAATTCTTTCTCTTGGGTATATGAAAGAAATATGAACTAGTTAAATTGCAATGAAGAATTAAATCTAGGGACAGTGCTATGTGAACAAGTGAGAATTTTAAGTTGAAACCAAGTTCAATGGATGGGACTGAAAAAGAAAAGAAATGAGGAAATGCGTTATGCCTTCTTGAATAATTTTTAATAACTTTTGATCACAAGATTCTATTTTATGTTACCTTGATGCATGTCTTTGTTTAAAGGAATGCTTCCCTCTATTAGTAAAATACTTAAACTGCAGCCTCCATTAGATGCAATTGGTCTTAGCTGCTACTTATGAGGTTAATGGAAAATAGTCTTGCAGTGCTGTCTGCAACCATACTTTATTGGTCAAGAGTCTAATACTCAATAATACCATGCATATATCTCTTCAAAGTATTTTTTTACTTCAGTACACATGCTTCTGACTTACGCTCCTGCAGACTCACACAATAAAGCATTAAGAACATTTTTTTTTTTTTTTAACTGAACATGGAGCTCTCTAGGTCATGTCCACTCACTGAACAAAGCAGCCATGTTACTTTTCTAATACACTCCACTATTACAGCAAGCATTAACAACCACACAGCTTTGTTTTATAGGTTATGGAAAATCTCTGAGGTGGGTATACTGGAGGAAAAGAAAAAAAAAAGGCAAAAATAGTTTTAGATGACTGTAACACAGATGTTCAGGTACACTTCCAGTGTGTGATATATTTTCCACACAGGTCTAAGCAATAGCAACTATAGTTGCTCAAGATATGTTTTGCTATAACACCTCCACGAGAGATCAAAGAACTCGTATCTGTCAAGAAGGAACACATTTTTTGGAAGATTAACTTGAAAAAAATAATCTGGGAGGGATCTGAGAGGCTGCTGGATGAATCAGTATTTAAAAATTATTAATGCTAAAGAATTCATGAAGTGAATATTATATAGACATTTCCATTGTTGAACACGCATCTGAAATATGACTCTGATATATGAGAGTCATATCTCCCACACCTTTTTACATCTTGAGAAGTTGAAAGTGAAGTTAAAATTGATTAAGAAACTGAAATGAGCTTGAGAATATTTTCTTCTTGACAACGGTCTTTTCCTATGAAAAACTACAGAGAATCCCAAGTTATAATACATCTGATATATTTTTCTTTCTGTTTCTGGTTGAATGACAACCCAATACAATTTATTTAATACAACTTATTGTTGCTGTTTTGTAATTAATACCTCCTAAGTGTTAAATAATAATAAAAAAGTTCATTTCTGTTTGTTGTTTGTTTGTTTTAATATTCTTTTCTTTATCTAGTGAAAGGAGGTGAAAAACAGATTCATAACCAAATAAACCTCAAGACACCAAAAATATAGGTAAAAACTTGGACTTCATTTACAGAATTCCTGAAGTATTATAAGGCTGAGAACAGAAGGCTTTTTGTGGTGCTTTTTCATAGAATCATAGGATCATAGACTAGTTTGGATTGGAAGGAACCTTAAACAGCATCTAGTTCCAACCCCTGTTATGGGGTTGGAACCCCCTGGCTTCCATTAGACCAGGTTGCCCAATCTGGCCTTGAACATTTCCAGGGACGAGGCATTCACAGCTTTTTCAGGTAACCTGTTCCAATGCCTCGCCACACTCTGAGTAAAGAATTTCTTCCTTATCTAATCTAAGCCTACCTTCTTTTAGTTTAAAAACATTACCCCTTGTCCTATCACTACATTCCATGACAGAGTCCCTCTCCCGCTTTCCCACTTTTCCCTTTGGGTACTGAAAGGCTGCTATAAAAGAGAAAACTCTTTTCCAGGGAGACCTCATAGCAGCCTTTTTTTTCTGGTATACTTCCTTGTTGTTAGTTTTGTTTCATGAAATCCTCTACATAGAGTAAAGCAGGGATTTTCCTTGTTTTCATCAATGTTAACAGGAGTGTGCAGGTATCTCTCAGCATGCTGCTGAAGTCATGCAAAAGTATCAGTAGTACAAACTGTATTGGCTCAACAGGTCTGCATTGTCTACATGTCTACAGGTGCTTCAAGGGTTCCTCTTCAGAATAGTAGTTGAATTTTGTTCAGTATGTATCAATAGAAATTATAATAAAAATGTTCTCTTTCTTTAAGTAGATAATCAATTGAGTTCCGTTACAGCCAAAGTTCTTCCATGATATACGCCGATGCCTTTAAATGTAATGATTTGTAAGCAGAGTCATGAAGTCAACAACTCCTAGGCAGCTGTAGCCTCATCTGCCTCTGACAAAGGTTAAACTTTCTGGCATATACTGTCAGAAAAGGCATCCAAGAAATGTAAGAAGCTCAGAGGGTCCAAGATTTCAAAAAATTAACGTAAGTGGGGATCACAACATTATATTCTAATGATAAGTTATTCAAAAAAAAGCTTTTCTTCCTTTCTTTTTATTGAAATGATATCATCTCAATCTTGTTTGAGTTAAGGACATTCTTCAAGTAAATGCTGGTTTCATCTGAACGTTTAAGGAGGAGGAATGGAGCTATCTTTTTGATACAATACACAGTCAGCAGGTAATTTCATACCTGTAACACCGCAGGTTGTGTAGTGTTACTAAATCTTGCAAAGGCCTCTTTGGATTTTATCTTAGAAAAGAGATATACATGTATAAAGCATTTTAGGGACTTGTTTGATCCCTTTATCTTCTTTGAGGTGTAACAGCAGAGAAAGACAAACCGTATTAAATTTTGAAGACAGTTCAAAATAAGCATGTATGTATTTCCTTTAAAAAAAAATATTGTAGAGGTATTTAGCATATGGGTGAATGGCCAAAAAGGACAGCAGGCACTGGACAACAGTCTGCAGAATCAAAACCATGTGGTAAAAAGCTTATTTCCATATTTTCGGATAGACTTAATACCATTAGTACCAATACAAGTACCTATTTAGGAAGAACTTTTCTGTGACATACTAGAACTATAAGTACTAATCCACTTTACTGCATTTTTAGATCTGAGTTTTCATAAACAATTCGGGTTTTTTTTAATTTATTTATTGTTATTTTCCCCTCCATGTTAGTGGGGAGAACCACTAAGTCTATTTAAGTTGTCTGAATTTCCCTTGTTGTTGCTAACCAAGTCAGTGTCAAAGATGATTAATACAATTCAGAAGTAATTGCCCTCAACTGGAACTTGATCTCAAGCAAAAACCAAGTCAGTTATCATATATACCATCATAAAATTTGGCTTTCCTATCAGAACCATACCTCTGTTGTAGACTAAAAACTAGCAGAAACCGATAGGAAAAAAAAAAAAAAAAGTCATTTTACTATTGAACGGAATAGTAGTCTATCTCTTGTAGAAGTTTTATAGACATTTTAGTGGTTCTACAATTCCTTACTTTGATGTCAAAGGACATCACGTTAAATGAATTAAAAGATTATTTAAATGGTATAATCTAGAACTAAAATGGTGTCTCTGCCATATGTCTACTGTTTCTGTCTACTTCAGGTGTCACTTGTCTTATATGTTATACATGTATATACCACGAGGAGATCCAATACATGATTTAAAACAACATGCAATAGTGTATAACATACATCTTCATATTATAAAACTGGTGTACTATATTTGGGCATTTTTAGTTACTTGAGATTGTACTGCATGCTGAGAGAGAAGATGGCAGTGAAAGTTAGGATCACAATTCCACTACAACCAGTAACCAAAATACCAACAACTGCAGGGTTTTCTCCCAGGACACATTATGGTTTGGCACACAGAGAAAGAACTATTTTTGTCAGCCTCCTACATTTAAAATTGTCTCTGAAAAATAATCTGCATTAATTCTTTCTTTACCTTAGAGAAGCAAGTGGCAAACAGGTTTATTTGGAATCTACCATGCCAGTAAAGAACGTGGGAACTTAAGAATTGCTAGACCAGATCCGAACAATGTACTTTATAGCCTCATTTCTCATTCTAGCAAGGACTACTGTGAAAAATCTCACACAACCAAATGCAGTAAATACTGTATTGCAGGCAGGCTTTCTCCTTAACATTCGACTAGTCATTAGCTTATGAATCCTTATTTGAAAATTTTAATGAAAGTCTCATTTTATTTTCCACTGAAATCAAGCTGCACTTGAACTTCATGAGAAACAAGAGTTAAATCACTCAACCTTAAGCCTGTAACACTCATTTCAGAGTTTGTTCTTCAGTATGTTGCTGAAGAAATATTAGACATCCGTATTTTTTAAATCATTTGTGGAAAGTAAGAGTGTTGCAAAAGTGCTTGTCTATCAGCTCGTTCAATACATATGTGCAACACTTGCTGCTTCACCTATGTCAGCATGAGCTTGGAACATAACTTTTTTCTATTTGTATTAAATAACATGTACATCACTCAGTCTGGCCGCTTGTCAAGGAAATGTCATTTACCAGATTAATAGTTTCATAGTCATCTCCCTGTGTTCTTGTACTAACACTACGATGAAATTCCTAAACTAAGATCAGCATATGCATTAACAGCTTTTGCTTCATGACTGTCTTAATTTTATATGCATATAGAAAAAAGTTCTGCATAAAAAAATCTCACTTACAGATTTGACTAAAGGTTAATTTAGCTTTCAGCATACATAATCTTATTGGAAACACATTTCCTCTTATAAATTTATGTCTCTACATATAACACACTTCTGACAGTTTAATGAAAGTAACAGTGCTAAAACTGAGGAACATTTTTTGTGTCACATCAACACCTTTAAATTTCCTTTGAACTGAGAAAATCTTGCACCAAAGTGATGTCTAGCACTAAACTTTTAGGTCTAGACCACAGGTTATTACTTTGTGTAAAGACTTCTAGGTTTGTAATGAGAATTCATTTGCTCCATAGCCATCAACTAAAAGAGGAAAAATAATTACCTTTGATGTATACATATTGGTCAATAAATCTGCTTCTAATGCTTTCATTTCCTCTTCTGAATCTGGGAATAAATCAGTAACATATGTTTATTATTTCATTATAAATCAGGACATCTGAATTCAGAAAATTGTATTTAGATATTTCAATTAGTTTTGGAAGAAAATAAAAACTGTAATAGAAGTACAGCAAAGTGATCTAAAGGGACTGTGATGAGTCTTTAGGTAATAGTAACATTATTTTGAAATGGATACTCACGACATTTTAAAGCAGGATCAAGCTTATTGAAATGCAAATGAAGGAATTACTAATGAAAGGATTCATTAATCTCAGTTCACTGGTCAACAACCATTCCATTAAACAGAACTGCTGCTACATCCTCATTCAAAATCAGTATGATTTTCATAATCACTATTTGTCACCTCTTCTAACCTTGGAAGATACTGGATATTTATTTTCAAATAATACTTCCCTAAGTAGCAAATAAGAATTTAGATCAATGACAACTGAGCTACTTGACAAAATTCAGCCTCAATTATTCTTGGTTAAATTAAGAGTATTTTTATTGGTATAAGGGAACTGAGCAAGACAAGCATTTGTGATACAAGCTCTTTTGATAATGCATACTCCAAATGAAAGTATTCTAACCAAAATTATTAGAATTTTCTTTACTAATATAATTGACTTTTAATAGCTCAGTGGAGACTTGATTTGGTCAAGAGAGTAAACACTGCTGTAGAAAAGAGAAAACAGTCAAAAACTTTTCTGCTTTATGCTCTACAGAACCACAACGAAGAACTATCGCCTTGAAAATAAAGCAGCAATCACAGCTCAATTATGAGATATTTACAGAAATCAAGTGAAACAAATTTCCACATGCCTTTTAGGTTCCACAGAATACCAGCAGTCCTAAGCCAAACAATACAATTACATAGATTTAAAACCAAATTACACAGATATTTATTCCATATTAATATAAACCATGCCTCAGTTTTATTAAAACGATACATGTTATCAGCATGTAATACCCTACCATAGAATCTGTGGATAGATTCTACTTAAGCCTGAATTTCAGGGATCATAACCATTATCTTACTACTGTCTACAAAACATAGGACCATAAGAAACATTTTATGCGTGTGTGTGCTTATCTGTGATAGATTTCTGCTAGCACAGGAAGTCAACTATCACAATACTCTTAAAAATCAATCTTGATCAGTCTTAGTAACACGATGACCCACCCCCGACCACATTTCTTCTTTGGGAAGTTCTTCCAAACTATCAAAGGTTATTCACATTCTTCTAATTTTAAGCCTAATTTATTTCTATTTATAATTTTATTCACAGCTCACATATATGCTCCTTCACTATACATGCTGCCTCTCTAATTTTTATCCAACTCGTGTGGGTTTTAAGAATGTTCATAACCCTTCCCTACTTAGATCTTCAAGGTATTTTTATACGGTGACCATCAAACAAATGCAGGGTCACTGTGCCTCTACAATGCCCCTACTTTAGTCTTTCAGACATAAGCCATTCCCCTGGAAACACCACAGACACCTCACTGAAAGGCTATGCTCATAGCCATTACACTGTCTCTGATCTACGTAATAGCCACCTGTCCCCTAAGTCATCAGTGACCCTCCTCTGTGCCTGATATGATCTCAACACAGCACAGCACAAACTAGATCAGGGATCCTACTACTTCACTACCGTAATGTTTTCCAGTTGCTAAAGAAGTATCTTTCAGACACATTTTTGGATTTTTCTTGTCTTTCATGGCTGAAAAGCCTTATTATCTTGTAATAAGAGTAAGGTCAGATAGCATGATCAAATCCTATGTGTCCTCACACATTTCCAACAGCCATGGTTCTGTTAAAAGGAGATTGCAATGGAAACTTATTATTTCCTAATCTATTACACTTTGCACAGTAGTACTTCTTCCCATTTTTATTATCCAGGTCATCAAAAACTCCTATGCATTATAACAGTTTTCCTCTGTAGTCATTCTCACGTTCACCTTTGTGTTACTAGCTTAATGCATTCATTCATTCTTTTTGCATTGAAGTTGTTATCAAAACTGTTGAGTAAAACTGGTCAGTAGTACTGCAGCAACTCACTAGCAATTTCTCTCTAGCCTAATACCTTACAGAACAACTTATTGTCATCGTTACCTAATCTTTTAACAGCTTCACCTGTAGCTGAATGTCTTTCTGCTGGAAGCAAAAGATCACCGCAGCTGAATTTCTACTAATGATAGCAGCAGCTCCTGCAAGTGGGTGAACAGTACAGGTGTGACAGCATTATGATTTGTTGTGTGCTGAGTTATATCAGCTGAGAGCAATAAAATAACTTGCATCTGGTCAGCACTCGGGCTTTTAAATGCCATATAGAATAAAAGGGTGTTTCCACACTGTCAAGGGTAGAAGACAGATGCAGAAGTGGAAAGCTGCACTGAATAGATAGGTATCAAACATTTTGACAGAGAAAAGAACTTTAGAGGACATTATTTAAGAGACTGTTGCTAGAGTGAAGAATGAAACAAAGGTTGGAGGAGGAAAAGGGGGTGCACCCAGATAATTCAGGAATGAAAGAGACAGATGAGGAGTAAAAGCATAAAAAGAGCAGATGCTCTGAGAGCAAAGAATAAAAAAATCTCATTACATGTTATTGTCCAAATCTAAGGAAGATCCACACACTTTGTTGTCTTTTTAATGATTCATTTATTATTGATAGGAAATATAGCTTCTATTCATGTATCTACGTTCTATAGAAATAGTTACGTTCTACAGGAAGATATGTTCCCCTGATGGCAGATATTTTCAAAGCGAAATTAAAACTAAAGATCATTTTCTTTGTGACATGGTTGTCCGTATTAGTAAAAATTGATTTGGTCTTCCATGCAAGCTTCTCTATGACATTTCTCTTTTAAATTTAATTTCAGTTTTTCTAGCAAATGAACCATCATGTTAGTTACATATACGACTTCATTTATTTTTGTATGCACCTCTTATAATTTCCACTGAAATCTTTGGCTTTAGTGGGCTTATGAATTCTATACTGCCTCACTGAAAATACTATTAATGCCTTTATTTAAAAAGCTTTAGATATATGGGGAGAAAGTAATAAATATTAAGTCCTGTCACTAAGATCATCAACTCCCTAAAATACACAAAACAATAATGCTTAAGTTGTGTCAAAATACAGATATTAAGTATGTTACATTTTTCTTCTCTGGGGAAATGCAAATTGGTAACTTGCATCCAAAGAGGGGAATTCTGAGTCTTCCTGAACACTGAAGCTCAAAAATAAAGCCATTTGTAAATTTACTCTTTACATTCTGTGGAGTTACAGATGGCAGTCATTTGCAAGTTAGAGTGGATTTTAAAACCTATTCTGCCCCATATCTGTGGCTGTACACCTGTTTTTTTGTTGTTTTGTTTTTTCACAAAAGCAGGGGACCTAAATGGCACAGCTATGTCATTTTCCAAATGAGAAGGCAGTGCATTTTCATATATGGCCCTTTTTTGTGTGTTTCTAAAGTAACTGGTCATGGAAAAGAAATACACTTACATTTAACTTCCTGTTGTGTGATCAGCATCTTTGTGACCAGCAGTTTTTGTCATCATTTTGGTACAGTAACTAGCTTTTTTTTTTTTTCTCCAGAATCTTAAAATTGTACTTCAGCTACTAAAAAGTGACTACAATGGATATGTAGTCATGTTGATTTGGACTATGGGAGATATTAATACATGTTGCAGAAAATACAGTATATATGATAGCTTGGTAATACATGGTATTCAGCAAAAATCAAATGAGGCAGCATAATTAAGTGGACAGTCTACACCAGCGTGTGTTTCTCAATGACTACTCTACACTAACAACCACGGCAGTGATGCTGTGGGGCGCAACATCTTACAGGAAGGGAGAAAGTTAGGAGAGTGACAGAAAATAAGATGCTGGCCAGACCCTGTTACCGGGGCAGCTCATGGGTACCTCGTTGCGTCCGATCCCGCTGGAGGGGGCAGGCGCGCCTAGGGGCCGGCTGCTGCCAGGGGCCAGGGAGGCTCCGTGTTCGGGCGCGGCGGGGACTTACCTGAGCAGAGGCTGCAGGAGGCCAAGGCCAGAAGCACCACGCACACCAGCTGGGCTCTCATCCTTGCCGCGCCACTCTCTAGAAAGTAAAGTCCATAAATCCTGGGGAGAGACGGAGAGAGAGACAGACAGACACAGAGAGAGAGCCGCTCCGCGCCCTCGGTAGCGTGCTGGCGTGCGGCCGCAGGCACTAGACAGGGAACCCGGACCCTTCCCCAACTATATAAGCCGCGGGGTGATGTCACGGCGGTGCCGCCATCGCCTCCCTCCTCCTCTTCCTCCTCCTCCTCCTCCTCCTCCTCCCCCTCCTTTCCCCTCTTCCCCCCGGCTCCCGCTGCCCCCTCCCCGCCGCTCCGCGCCCGGCGGCTCTGACGCCAGTGCCCGCTTGACGCACGCGGAGCCCCGCGGGGCGCGCAGCGGGGCGCGCAGCAGCCCCCCCAAGTACCCCCACGCCCCCAGCGCCGCCCGAGCGGGCTTGTCCCGGCTGCGAGCTGTCCCCTGAGCTCGGAAAGCCCCCAGACACATGCATTATGTATATTCATCGTTAATGAAAAGAAAGTTTCCGCGGTTGCTCAGACACCTGCCCGCGCTGGGTGCTGAGCCTCGTGCGGCCGACGTTTGCTGTGCTGTTTTAGCCCTTTTAGCTTTCCCCGAAGCGAGGGCGGGACCCGCACGACCGGCAGGGCAGCGGGCACGGCGGCAGGAAACATGAATTCCATGTGTGAAAAAGACAGAAAGATAACGGGAAAGTCACTCGCTACAGCTTTTTCACAGATGCGCAGGAAATGCGCGTGTCTCGCCCGACACGGCGAGGTTCGCTATCCCTTCTGAAGAGTAAACCGAGAGCTATTATTTCAAGAGAGTAAGCGCTCCTACAAGAAGTTTCTTCTACGGTTTATTTTTGTGCTTGGATTTTGGTTCGTTTTTTCTTCTTGAATTTTACAATACTGGTAAGACATCTGAGAATGTCATGCCGGTATTGTAAAATAGTGGAAAGAAGTACTGTAAAATACTTAACAGTATTGTAAAATACCAGTATTGTAAAATACTGGCAAGACATCTAAGGAGCTGACGGACCCCTAAAGCACGCAGGGGACACAAAGGGCTCCGCGGAAGGCGGTGCGGCCGCGGAGCGCTGGCGGCACTGCCCCGGGAGGGGGCGCCGTGGCAGCGGGCAGCGCCGTGGGGCGCCCGGCGGCTGGCGCCGGGCATCTGTCGCGGGCTGTCCCCCTGCACCTCAGCCGCCCCGCAGCTAAACAAGCAAATCCCCACGGAAATCGCCTGAATTAGGGGGTGGGGCAGGCTAATCTTTAAGGTGTGAGTGTGTAACTGTAAAGCTGAAGATTCGCGTCAGCCTCCATCGTGCTACTGCTTTTAGTGTGACTTTTCTCGAATACAGACAAATGCTCCATCTGTTGAATGCAGATAGTACAATGTGACACACATACCACACATAGCAGAAACACGCTCTGGTAGATTTCTCCTAGAGTGAATGTTCTCCGCACTGCAGAAAGCTTCCTTTAAAATACAAAGAACAGTGATGGTTGCTGCTGTCCTACTCTACCCTTTGTGCCTGCCTCTGCCACTGAAAAGATGCTGCAGAAATAGAAAACCTGCAGAAATTTCAAATCCCTTTTACACGGAACACCTGGTGAGAAAAGTTCAATTAACTGAATTCCTTCTTTCCTGAGTAAACTTTTGCAGCAGAACTAAACTTACATTTGGAGGTTGCTTTATGGTCACATAAATACATACAAAAAATACAGCCGAGTGCATTCTAGTAGTGTTAACTGTTTTAAGAGCCCAGGCTTGCATACTGCTCCGAACACATCTTTCTTCCCTACTAAGATGGGAAAGAGAGGAAATGAGAAAAGGAAAAGGGAAGGGAGGAAGGGAGGAAGGGAGGAAGGAAGGAAGGAAGGAAGGAAGGAAGGAAGGAAGGAAGGAAGGAAGGAAGGAAGGAAGGAAGGAAGGAAGGAAGGAAGGAAGGAAGGAATGCATTTATCATGGTGTATGGGCTATGTTAGTCTGCCAGAATTTCAGCTATAACTCATCTGTGTTAGCACAGAGGTTAGATTAGATGGCCACTCATGCTCCCCTCCAGTCCCATTTTCTGTTATTTCCATGATGTAGAAAGACCAATCTGCAGCTGATTTTACTCTGTGGGTGTTCTGCAGTTCAGAAGCCTCTGTGAATGAGAATCATATTTCATAGATATTTTCTAGTGCCTACTCTCTGTCACAGATTTCTTCAATAGTGTAATTGCCCATATTCTTATGTAACTGGAATTTATAAGAATGACGTTTTATTTTTTTTCCTCAGGAAGAGAGTAATTGCCAGTTTCCCTGCCATTAAAAAATGATGACCACCTAATTGCTTTTATTATTATTGTTATTTATTTTAATCTTGGTATTCTAATATTAGTAATTTCAAGACGATGCACATATAATATGTTTTGGGCCACAACCTTTTTTCATCATTGCTCTGTTTTCACCTGCTTGGTTGTTGTTGGTGGTGTTTGTTTTTTTCCTAAGAAATGTAAAAGCAGAAATTTCACTGTTAAAAATCTTTCTCAACACATTGAATGTTCTCATGTATTATCTTCAAATCCTCTGAATCAGGCACAACTGAGTTCAGACTTTTTTTTTATTATTTTTTTTTTCTCTCAGTAGAACTGAACTGTCCTCTGTTTCCCAGATATTCCCTTACTTACTACATGTTTCCTACATCTGTAGCTTCTTCTAATTCCCTGTTTAGACTTGCATATTAGGATTTTTAACTATTTAAAAAATTAATTCCTTAAATCATCTTGACTTCACCAAGTCATCATTATACCACATTTTCCAACATGAGAAGGATTTCTCTTGTGAATGTGCATCAAAAAAACTTCTATAAGGAAAATAAAAATCTCAAATCTCTTTCTCTCCACCTTTCTTTTTAAATATTTCTCTGCTAGAGAAAACATTTATAACTCTTCATCAGTGTCAGTCAACTTGGGAATCTCAGTTTATCTTTACTTGCCCTCAACATGTGATTTAAACAGCCTGTCCAGGCCCATAAATCATTTCCATTCACAACCGTGAGGCATCTGAAGGTAATGAAACAGTCAGGCAAATGGCAGATTCATGAAAGCACAGATACATAAATCTATGTTTACCTCAACACTGAAACATAAAACTACCATCTCAACATATGGATGTCACCTATCAGAAAAGCTATAATCACCAGACTGAAGGAGAAAAGCATTCTGCTGATGATCCTGCAATAGAAGGTACTGGAACACAATAAGGAACAGTCTGGTTAGAATTCTTATGCCTTGGGAACAGAAATAAAAGTGAGAATGAATATGCAATTCAAGTGCAAATCAAGAGAAGTGTAATTCAAGATGTTCAAATTTTGTCTTTAAATATATTAATTTGTTTGATTTTTTTTTTTTTTTGGGGGGGGGGGGGGCATTTTTTTTTTTTTTTACCCAAACCTTGTAGTTGCATAAAAGTATGTGTTTTAGAAGAAGGAGGATTCTGAAGGAAGTCAGCAAGACAATATTTCAAACAACAAACTGGTTCAAGATGCTAACTCAGTATCTCAACTTTGAATTTAGTTGTAGCAATTTCAACTGCTTTGCCCCTATGACAGTTTGTTTATCAGCATTTCGGGTTATTAATGCTTGATAGAAAACTGATTACATTAATTTCTGTTATGTCAGCTCAAAAGACAATAAGCTCAAGCAAAACAGCAGGACAGAAGCATATTGAAAACACATTTAAAGTATAAAGCTGACAGTGCAGATGTCTCAGGTATTGTGAGTCCTCAGTGCCTCTTTCTCTGCCTCAAAATATATCTATGGTGTTTTGGTTTCGTTTGGTTTGGTTTGTTGATCAGGAAAGTGATGCTCAAGTGCTGTGTTCATCTGGTAAAAATTCTAAAATCCTGGAGACCAGCTGTGTTGCTGATGATAACAGGAAAACAACAACAACAACAACAAAGTAAGGGAAAAATAATGATTAATATGGTGAATCATTCCTAAGTAAGTAAAAGATTAAGCATTTTGCCTACTTTGCCTACTTGCCTACTTGCCTACTTTAAACCCAATCTCCTTTAGCCATTCTGTGATATGTTTTTTGAAAATTGTGAGGTTGTACACTTTAAGGAAAACTTCAAAATCTAACTGAATGATATTCAAGAATTTACTGTTGTATAAAACTAAACAAAACCATAAGTAGCCACATTATTAGCTGAATCCAATGTTTATATATATATATATATATACACATATATATAGTATGCAGCAAATCTATACCACATTTTCAAGGAGCTGCAAATCAGCAGAAACTTCCTGGACTTCTAAAGGCTAAGAAGGTATTTATGATTTAAAGATCTGGACCCTGTAAATGTGAAAGTGGCATTCTATGTAGCCTCTACAGATGAGAACTACATGTACTACTTTTTTTCTTGATGCTTTCACTCTTCAAAGCATATACCCCAGGGGATCATGATTCTCAAATCACAGAATATTTTAAGTTTCTTCTCAATAGAATGATCTGAAGGATCATTTTTTCTTTTGAATATTTTTTTTTTCTTTAAAGCCGTTATATTTTGGGGACAACAAGATTCCATAACCCTTCTTCTGACAAAATAGAATCTGTGTTTCTATTATTGTAAAGCAAATACAGCATATACACATACACATATACAATTAAAACAGAGTTCAGTTAAAACAAAATTGTAAGCCTTTCTCATATATATGTGTAGATGTATAATTATTTTAGTAAAATTCATTTTGGATAAAATAAGCCAGAAGACAACTATCTTCCCATCTTCCCTCGTACTCCTTCTTTCTTTTTATCTTCTTCTTTTATTTATTTATTTATTTAACTAGTATCCTAGTAAACAATCCTAGACTCCTACTAGAATCCTAGCAAACAGTGCAGTTTAGAAGTGCCACCACAGTGTGTCATGGGAGTTATGCTTTGGACACCTCCTGCTTACTTTCACCTCTCAGCAGTGCATTCCCAGGACAGACTGCATCTTTTTCATTTCTCTGATTACACATTTTCTCCAAATACCTAAGTTAATCAATTTTTCATTTGTCTCCAGTGAGCTATGAATATTTTAATTTAAGTTTCAGGATGTAGTATATAGAATGGATATGGGTGAAAAGCCTGATAAAATCCTTTGTTGAGGATTGCATATTCATGAAATCCACTGTTCATCAGAGTAATCATGCTTTAAAATTCT